CCCTCGAAAAATGACGGCTTTGGAGGGGACACGCGCACACCCCATCATGGCCTCGGATTCCTATCTTCTCTCTGCAGCCAGCCTCGAATATCCAGGCAATAGGCGTATTCCTCAGGCCCGTGGGCCTGGCCGGCGAGGGAGAGAGAGGGAGACTTCCTGTGAATCCCTGATCAAACATGTAAGGAACTTCCTAGAAAAACCACTTCTTGATCCTGGGGACGTTTCTTAACGACTCTGAGACCCAGGTAACCACAGTACCCACCCCCAGCAGGTTGTGCCATGATGAGATGAACGCATGCCAAGCACCTGCAATGCAACGGGCATTTGATAAGTGGTGGCTTTGCAGATGACCATCCAGCTGCCCTTGACCCCCACTCCTGGTCAGCCCCCGTGGACCATGGCAAACCCTCCTGTGGGTACAGGGGTTTCTCACATCCAACGCCTCTCCTTAGTCTCGACTGCAGCAGGTCGTCTCAATGCTCCTCTCCCACGGGCAGGATAAATGTCATTGTCTCCATTTTGCTGAGGGGAAGACTGAGCCCGAGAGTCCTCTCAATCTGGAAAGGAGTGTCCCCAGCAAGGAAGGACACCACTGAGGCCATTTCAGATTTTTAGTATCCAGAGGTCTGAGGGGAAATGTCTGGTCTCAGAGGCCTCCTGGACTACGGGATGATAGGTAAGGACCTCTGCCTCAGCTGCCCCCAGTAAAATCACAGTCACCTCCTAGGAGCTGACAGGGGTGGGGGGATGAGGTGGAGCAGGCGGGAAAGCCAGGCAAGTGCACCAGCTTGGGGACTTGGAAGCCCCCAAGTGACCTCAATCCTCACTCCCCTCACCTGTGAAATAGGAACAACGGTGCCTACTCCGTGGCATGGTGTCCAGCCACCCAGCACAGTGCCCAGGACCTAGCCTGTATCCTGGGCTTCCCCTGCCACCAGCCACTTTGCAACTCTGAAGCAACTTCAGGTCCTCAAAGGCACACCCATCCCCCAATTCCCCCATCCCAAGCCCTCTCGAAGATCCCTCCCTTTGCTTTGGGGAGAGTCTGCCTTTCCAGTTTACTCAGCTAACCCCTACTCCTCCTCTAAGTCCCATTACAGATATCACTTCCCCCCGGGAGCCTTCCCTGATTTCCCCGTGACGGCAAAGTCCCCCTGTGGTGGGGAACCATGGCCCCTATACTTCTCTGCTCAGAGCACTTGTACACTGACTTCCTCACGGGACCTTGCACACCAGAGGCCAGGGGTGGGTCAGTTTTGTTCAAGGATATACCTGCAACATCTCACAAGGTGCCTGGAATAGGGTCTTAGTGCACATTTGCTGAAATAATAATAAAAAATAATCTAAAGAGGGTCACTTCCTCCCTTCTCTGCCCCTACTGAGACAACTCCCCAGAAGGCAAGGACAGTCCCTGGTCCAAGAATGAAACCTCAGGCCTCTGCTTTATATATAATTTGACAAAAGTATGTATTATTTTAGCTGGAAAACTGAAGGTACGCCTCTTAGAGTAAGTTCTCACTGAACAGACTTCGAATCTACCCTTGTTCCTGGCTCTAGGCCCAGGGAAGATGGGTGGAGTCCCTGCCATGGCCCAACCTGCTGGCATCCTGACATCTGCCTGGGTCCCCCCACCCGGCTCAGGGGGCCTGGGCGAGGTGAGCCAGTGGGCTGAGCCCAAGCAGGAAACCAGGCTCCAGGGAGGGGCGGCGACATGGCACCCAGGCACGGTCGGAGGGCAGGCTTCCTTCGGCTGTCATTTCTACTCTGGCTTGTTCCAGCTCCTGGGTAGAATGAGTGAGTGAGCGAGGAGGGGGAGGACCTGACAGGCGGCAGGCTGGGGCAGCACCCCCGATCTGTGGTGGCTGTGGTTAAGCTGATGTCTCCAGAGAAACACGAAGGGGCCGAGAAGACTGCGGCTGGCCCTGCCTTTCTCTGCAGTGGAGAGGCCCAGGAAGGGGCAGGAGCCTCACCCGAGGCTGCTCCTCCTTTTCGCTTTGAGTGCAGCTCCAACTCCATTCAAGCAAGGAGGGGGGATAAAGGTTCTAAATTCAGGAAATCGTTTCTCGTCTCTGCACCTCTCTGTGGCTGCTGGTCACCCTGGCCTCAGGGTCCAGATGCCATCCACCTAACATACATTTTTGAGTGCCTACTGTATATCAGACACCATTCCAGTTACTAGAGATAAAACAATCCAAAAAATTCCTACATTTGGGGAACTTTTGTTTCAGATGGAACGGAAACATCTTTTATGATAAGCCTTATTACAGAACTACCCCATCTAGACAGAGGTCTCACTAAGAGAAAGAACANTTCAGATGGAACGGAAACATCTTTTATGATAAGCCTTATTACAGAACTACTTCCCCATCTAGACAGAGGTCTCACTAAGAGAAAGAACAAATGTGACTCAGCTCTAGCTTCCCTAGGGTGCCTGGTACAGAGCCAGATGCTCGCTAATGCTAACTTTCCAGACACCAAAAACAGCCCCAACAGTATTGATCCCCAAATCCAGGAGCCCCTCTCCTTGGTGTGAAGGCCCTGGCGGTACCTACAGAAACGGTGAGGGGAGCAGCAGCTCCATCTCATCTGGCCACACATGCAAATGGTTGGCTTCACACTTCCAGGTGCTTTCAAAGGGAAATCCACCACGGGTGGCTTTTCCACTCAGTGGAGTGGTGGGGGTGCAATAAGGCACAGCTTCTGGTGTCAGATGCAGGGAAAATTAAGGTGGCAGGCACAGGAAAAAGATTAAAGCCACTGATGAAAGATGCAGATCAGACAAGCACCACCGCAGAGGCTCAGTGGGGTCCCTTGGGGGAAATACCAGAGCAAGGAGGAGGTTACTGAGACACAGGGCAGCCAGGAACGTGAGGGATTAACATGCACACATTTGCATGGGCCTGCATAGGAAGCAAAAGTCTTGGCACATAACCAGGGCCCAGAATACATAGCTGGTGGCGTTATCATCAAGGCTCCTGGCAGCCCGAGAGCCGTGCCCCTTACCCAGCATGTACGTGGGGCCCGAGAGGCCACGGTCCTCGCTGATGCCCAGGAAAGGAGAAATCACTTGCTTCACCAGTTCCTCCAGCTGCAAATAACCCTCACTGGGGCCTGTGGGCTCATGAACACTCTGGAAACAAACATCCGAGAGAGGCAAAGGTCAGCCAAAGTCACCACGGCCAGCTGGCCCTCCTACTATGTCCAACGCAGTGATGCCAGCAAGCAGCGTCCTTGTGGCTGGAACACAGGAAACAGAGGCCTGAAGCCCGAGTCACTTGTCATGGGACACCATGATTAGAACTGTGTGTATGTTGGGTGCTATGGCACTTCTCCCCACAGATCCCACCAATGCAGTGTGGGTGGGACTGTCCCCACCCCACCTCCAGGGCTGAGGATTGGCCCCAACCATAGTAATCCCACCCCCACTGGCACAATGACAGCTTCAAACGGCACAGGCACTTTCTAGAAGCACGTGACATGTATCAAAGCACAGAGGCTCCCAACAACCCGAGGAAGGTGACACGCCCATCTTCTGCCTCCGCGGGTGAGGAAATTAAGGCCCAGAGAGCTTAAGCAAGTTGGCCAGGAAAACACAGCCAGTAAGCAGCAAAAACCTGGACTAGAACCCAAGCTGTCTGGCTCTAAGCACATCTTGCTTCCACTTGTGAACAGGCTAGAAAAGAAAGGGGGACAGAATATGAAAAAACAGAGCAGTAGAAGAAAGGGAGCGTCGCTGTGGAACAAGATGTGTTTAGCACCAAGATGAAAAGTCAGTTCAAAAGCCCAGCATGACCAGAATCCTCGGAGCCAAGGCCAGAGCAAACACCAGCTAACACAATGACCGCAACGGTCAAATCGGAAAGGAGCCAGGAAGTAACCAAGGATTTCCAGAAAACCAGCAAACTCCTAGGGGACTCAACTGATCCCCGGAAAGGTCTCCAAGCCACGCTCTCATGTCGAGGCTGCAGGGGAGCAGAGAGGTAAGGATCGTGGGGGCTGTCCCATCAAATTCTCAAAGTGGAATGGATTTAAATCACCCTTCCTTTACAGTTAGAGCCCTCCACTGCACTGGAGTTTGGGGGGATTGCAGGGGAAGACGGCCGGGCTATGAAGCCAGAGGGCCAAACTTGCAGGTGGGGATCAGCAGGTGAGAGGGATGTTCCGGAGGAAGCAGGCTGGCTTGGCTCCTTGTTGGCTCCAGGACGGTGGGGTGGTGGGTGGAAGGGGCAGCTTAATGAGACACTGAGGGAGCTAAGGAGGGGCTGTGGTGCAGGAGACATCAAGACTTGGAGTTCGGGTCTGGGAAGGGGCTGAAGGGAGAAAATGCAGAGAAAATGTGAGTGGGCCTCAGACCCACGGTGCTCCAATGAAGGCTGCCTGGCGCTTGAAGGTGGCGATGGGGAGAAGGCATGAGGGTTTTCCCCGCCTCCTTGGCTCCAGGTCTGCTCACCCCAAGCAAGCAACAGCAACGCTGGCAATGCTGGGGGAGGGGGGCAAAGGAGGTGCTTCTCTGAGGAATACACTCATCAGCCCAAACGGAAGGGAATCCTCAGGGCCGGAGAAGGGGAGGGAGCCTGATTCACGTTCCTGGGGTCCCACCCCAGGCCTCCAAAGCTGAGCAGTTTCAGCCCCCAAACCACCTGGATGAGGTTTCAGAGCCCAGGAAGCTTTCTTTCCATTTTTTCCCCTTCATGATATTTCTCCCCCAGCTTTCCCCTCCTACAATTCATAAGCCCTAAATAGGAGGGTTGACAGAGAAAGGAGAAGCAGCGAAAGGTGGGCAGAGAATGGGTAACAGGCACATGATCTGGAGCTGGATGGTTTTTTCCCAGGGTAGCCGCTGAGAACTTGGCTCGTACACAGCCCTCGAGTAAGGGACTGCCCCCCACCTCAGCCTGGCTGCTGGCCTGGCTATGCATTTGCAAAGTCCAGTGCAAAATGAAAATGCGGGGTCCCTTGTTCAAAAATTCCTAAGAATTTCAGGATGGCGATGGGAGAGAATTAAACAAAGCACAGGGGCCCTGTTGAGCTTGGGGCCGCGGGCGACTGCACATGTCGCTCACCCTGCCTGGCTGCCTGGCTGGGACCTCGAAGGCATCGTTCTAGGCTGACCTCAGGATGCTCTGCACCTGTCAGGAGGAACCAGACCTCCACACTGGTCAAAATCTCTAGTTCAGCCTCTTCCCACACAGCCTGAGGATGGGATGCACAGCCCACAGCAGGAAAGCTTGAGCCCCTCGTGTATTCTGGAAAGGGAGGGGGTTGATCAGGGACATTGTGGAAGAGCACTGGGAAAGGGAGAGAGCAGGCCTGAGAAGCGGCTCTTTTCCCTGTAAGAGAGGCATGCAGGGGAAAATCAGCCCCAGACCTCATGGAAGTGCTGAGGGTGGGGACTGGGGAGAGAAGGGAGCTATTCCAACTACCAGGGCCCACTAAGAACAAATGTGGGGGGCAGGGTGGATGAAGGATGGTTCTCCTGGGAAAGCCATCTAACCACCTTTAGGGGCTGCATGGGGATGCTGACAGCTTTCTTGTATGGTTGCTGGGCTGCTGGACACAGGGCCTGGAATGTTGGAATGGGGTAGGTGTTTTTATTACCACAGAGATAGGCCTCCTGGTCTACTGTCCACAGGTGAGAGCCCTCCCTTCCATTTTCCTTCCAAACAAATGAAACAACAAAAGAGGAATCTCCTCTCATCCCAAAGAGCTCGTTGTTTAGATTGCTTACTTGGGATCCAAGCTCACTTATATTTCTTGGACACAAGCTGCACACACTCTTCTGCCCCCTTCCTTCTGCCCTGCCACAAAAAAATGTGACCTGGCATTCCAGCCAGTTACGCCCACTCTCATCCTATTAGGCAACTCCTCCCCCACTGCTTCAGGAAAGGGGGAGAATGCCCTGACGAATGGTCTGACTAGAGAACAGGGAGAGACAGCCAAAGGGGGAGAAATATATCAGGGCCCCAAGCCTGATGTCCCACCCCTGCCGAGAGGACAGCCAGGGGCCACCACCAGCCTGACCAAGGATGAACTGTCTTCACTGTGGATGGGCTCAGAGCTGGTCCTGCAGGTTCTGAACTTGGTACAGAGATGAAGGATGCATAGTAGCCTCCTTTTGGGGGTGTCCCTAGCCCACAAGCCCTGTTTCTTAAGAATTATATGCTCCCATCCATAGGACTGGGATTGCTGAGGCCATGTTTATACTCCTTGATCCCACTCAAGGTCACAGCTGACTGGACAGAGGGGAATCGTGTAGCCCACGCTGGACCAATCAAAGTCTTTCCCCTGAGTGTACATAGTTCTTAATCTTACTACCTTGCTGAGGGACCTCCGGCAAGCACATAAATTTCCTGAGTTTCAGTTTACTCACCTGTAAAATGGGAATAACAACAGCGCCCACCTCATCACATGGTCATTTGGGTGATTTGATTCAGAAAGCAACACGCTTAAAGCTTTGGCCCATGCCTGGCAGGAACCAGTAAATGTTAGCTCACCTTCCTATTACTGATTTAGAACTGGAATGAAGAGATACTAGGCAACCATCGGGGGTTGTCTCTGGGTGGAAACACATGAGCTATGAGATGCCACATTTGATCAGGTGCAAACCAAAGCACCGAATGCAATTCTGCAGAGAGAGAGACCAAGTCCAAGAGAAACCAGACAAGGCCAGGAGAGGCAGTGTCAAAGAGAACCAAGGTAGGCCAGATTTAAGTAAAGACCAGTAAGTGGAGACAGGCTGGTGGCTCTGTGGACTGGCACGGTCTCCCCTCTGGTCGCTATAACTTTAGGAAGCCCACCTGCCCTGGGAGCTTTCCAGGGAGTCCTGGTCTGCCTTGAGCTAGGCTGCAGTGGGTTCCTGCTGTTACTCGTACCCTGTACTTCTTGACAGGACAGGAGAAGAGAGAAGGGTGTTCACTCCCTGAAGGACAGGACTGTGCGTCTCACTCCCCACTGGGGTCCCAGCACAGAGCTCAGTGCCAGGGACCCCAACGATGCTCAGTGGTCATACAGCAAATGAGCAAATGAACTAAGGAATGTGAACGATTCGAGGACACTGAGCTGAGCTGAGCTAAGGTGCTCTGGTCATTTGGTTCCTTCCCCCCGTCTCACAGCGGCAGTCTCTCCTTCTTTTCATTCCCTGGCCTTGGGGGTCACATCTCCACTGGGGCCTCACCTGCAGGATGAGCAACATCTGGACGATGGACGAGGGCAGCTGGGATGGGGCCAGCAGCAGCAGGTCACCCAGCTTCACCTTCAGCAGGACCAGGTCACGGAAGCCCAGCAGGGAGATCTGGCGGATGGTCAGCTCCTGGCCCTGGAGGAGAGAAGAGGCCGTGTCGGGAGGGGAGAGCTCACTGGATCTGCCACCAGCCACATGGGGTTCAGAGGACCCAGGGAGGGATAGGGCAAGGTGTCTGCAATGCCAGGGGCTATCAGAGGGTCGAAGGCTTGGCCCCCATCCTTCAGAGTGAAAGCTTTGCTTAAGATAAGGTGTGACTCGACCTGCCTCGGTAACCCAAAGGTGATACAAAACACATATAATGGGGACCATGCTGTCACGAGTGCCGTGAGTGGTCAGAGAGAAACAAGAAGAGATCACAACCCCCTCCCCGTGTTCAAGGCCACTTCCTCAGCCTAACCGTTAAATATCTGAGCGCCAATCACATGCCAGGCAGAGGCAAACAGGGGACCTGTTAGACAACTATATAAATGCAAGTAACTTAGGAAGAAAAATAACTGGGAAAGTAGAAGAAAGGGACTTGTTCAACCATGGGGGGTGGGGGAAGGAAATAAAATAATCGCTAATAATCCTAAGAGCTGACACTAAGCTCTGGCTATGGGCTAGGCACGATTTAGATATTCTTGATGTAAATAACACATTTAATGCCCTCGACCACCCTTTGAAACAGGTCCTATTACAAAACCCACTTCACAGGTGGAAAATCCTAACGCCCAGAGTGACAGTAATTTACCCAGTGTAGAGCTGGATTAGAGCTCCTGAAGTTTGCCAAAACAGCAAGGGAAAGAAGGGCCCGTTTTCCAGGCTCTCCTTCGCACATAGGTACACAGAACACTCCAAAAGTCGATTACTCTCAGTAGAGACAAAGCCATAATTCGCATGGTACCCTACCGAGCAGGACACAGCCTTCAAGGCTACCAAGCTTAAGAAAGCTCTGCATTTCCTATAACTCCTTAGCAAGGTTTTACAGAAACATGGGCAAGAGTGGTGTGGCCATCCCTACATCCCTGTACCCTCCAATCCCAAAAGACACACACACCACCGCCCAGGCCGCACAGGCTCACTCCAACCACCCCTTCCAGGCTGCCTTCCCCGACCACCTCCACGGGCACCCCACCCCCCGCCCCCATCTTCTCCAAGGTCCTACAGCTTCTACTTTTTGCACCACATCCCAGCACTTGTCGCTGACTACTTATCTCACGGGTATCAGTGCGCTCACTTCATCTCCAGAAGCCCTTCCATTTTACAGGGCGGATAAACTAAGGCAAAGTCCCACCCCCTTGAACACAGTAGGCACTCAAAATCCCTCCTGTCCAGTGAGGAAATATGTCTCACAGACACCTCTACACACAGGGAGTTGTGAGAAGCATCTGGCTGGACTCACAGGCACCTCAGGGGGTATTACCACCAGTAGTGAGCAAACCTAAGTCAGGGGTTCTCAAAGTGGGGTGTCTGGACCAGCAGCAGCATCACTTGGGAAATTAGGGGGAGGTGAACAGGGGACAAAACCAATTGTTTCCAGATCTTGCAGTTTCTCGTACCAGCCTCAGACCGGCACAACTGGGCTCCTGCCTGGATCAGAGCCTAAGAGGGCCCCTCTTGGTCCTCGGGTGACTACCCCGGGACCACGCCCACCAAGATCCCACACTCCCATTCTAAACCCATCCAGGTTTCTGCCCCTGGGAATCCCACACCCGAATGGTCCTAAGAGAGACCCAGGACTGCAAATCCCCTTCAGTGGGGTGGCCAAATAAAACACAAGAGGTCCAGTTAAATGTGAATAGTTTTTTAGTCTATGTCACAAACATTGCATTATTCACATTGTTCTGAAATCCAGGTTTAACTCAGCATCCTGTATTTTCATTGGCTAAATCTGTCAACCCTGTCTCCCAGGACTGTCCTCGTAAGACGCACTGCTGGCCGAGGAGTGATCACTGCAGGGAAGGGAGACACTCGTGGCACGAGGGGGGCTGAGCTGTCCACATCAATGCTGTCAATCCTCTCATGGGGGAGCAGGATGAGCTGAAAATGAGCGAAGGAGACAGGGGGCTGCGGGCTGGAGGCTTCTACTGCAGCAGTCGGGCAGGCTCGGAATGGGAAACGGACTCCATAGGCATAGCTTCCCAACTTTTAAATATTTGACAAATACTTAAAAGAATTCCAGATTCCTTTAAAACTGCATTCAGAGCCAACAGAGCACGTAGGTCACTACCTGTGGCACAAGACAGTGCCTACCGTTGCTAACGGCCGTGTTATGGCAGCACCCACGCCGGCACGTCACCAAAGCCCACGGAGGAAGGAAGCCTTAACCCCAGGGGAAGGAGTGGGACAGTGAGCACAGGGCAGCGTGGGTGTATGACAGAGACATAGGTCTTGGAAAGGACGGTCTCTTGGTCAACCTGCCTCGGGGAATGTCCACCGTGACCTGACACTGACCAGTCCCGCCGGAGGGCAGAAAGTAATCAAGTGGTAGAATGAGCTGAGGTCACAGAGTAAGAACATGAAAGAGACACCTCTCATCTTTCAGTCTAAATTCCTCACTTTGCAGGACACGAAATGGAGCTACACAGGCCTACAAATCGCTACTTTTGTGGGGTCTCCTCTTTGAGGTTAGATGCTAAAAAGACAACCAGAGCGCCCTGCAAAGATCTCCAAAGTCCTTTAGCCAACTCAGGCGGACCTCCTGGTGCTCCCTCGTTCACCAGGAGGCTCCAGGTGGCACAGGCCAAGCCGAGGCTGTTCCCGTGAGACTGACCTGAACTGGGTAAAATATGGCCTGCAGGGTGGGGAGAGTCTCAGTGAAGAAGTGGTCCCAGACTTCAGCCAGAACCTCAATGCGATTTTCACCTACACGAGGGCGAGAAGACGGGAGGGGAAAGAAAGAAAAGAACTTTGTCATTACTTGCAGGAGAGGCCAGAAGACAGTTCCACGTTGAATGGAGCAGGGAAGGGGGGGCGCAGGGGAAGAAGGCTTTACCTACATTTGATCTGTAAGTGTTACTATGGTAAACGTGGGGTTGGATGCAAAGACTCAACTAGAAATATGCAAATATGCCTTCTAACCCCAATCCAGAAAAGAGCTGAATTTTAAAAATCGTATAATAATTGTTATTATCATGAGAATGGTTACAACATTATCAGTGACTGTGCTAAGCTACTTATATATGAGACATCTCAGAAGTAGACTCTCTTACCCCATGGGACAGGCTCACAGAGGCCAAGTACCTGGCTCAAAGTCACAGCAGGAAGGCAGAGCTGGGATTCCAGAGCCCGTGGTCTTGACCAATGTAATCTGGTCAGACCATGTGCTGTGTTATATATTGCTCTGCACTTTGTTATTGTTTTTTTAAACACTAAGCCATGGCCTTTTTATTCTGGATTTGAGCTGACAGCTGAGGGAGATGGAAAGAGGACCCAGAAACTGTCACCTCCACGCACTGCTTTGCAGTAACCAGGAGGGCAGCATTTCTGAAGTGGTCACCTGTAGGACACAGGACCCGTATCCTGATGTGGTGCCTACTCTCAGCCCTTGGATCAGGAAGCCAGAGGCATGGCCAGGTGCCACCCCCAGGCTAGATGTACCCGGGTCACCCAATGCCACCGGAAGGTTGTGTGAAGAACTCTGCACCTGCAGGAAAGGCAGGCGCTGGCAGAGAGGGGCCTGCACAGTGGCTGCTGATTAATGACCTAGATAACAGAGCCGATTGGGCACTGTCTTTGCTCATCCGAGGCAGAGAAACTGGGTCAGCCAAGATTACACACCGACAGCCGAGTTTGGCAAAACACTGCCAGTTCCACTAAACTGATACAGAAAGCTTCCTTTAGCATCTTCCGTCTATTAATTCAATGGACGATAAAAAGCAGTGGCTGGGAGAGAGAACAGAACAAGGGCATGACTAGTAGCTAGCAGGGCTAAAGACATGCAGATCTAGGAAGGTCGGAGTGAGGTGTACTGGGGAGATGCAAACCTAAAGCACCCTCTACTTTTCCTCTCACAGCACTAACTACACTTGGTTGGAATCCCTTATTTTGCTTCTCTGTCTCCACTAGAACGGGAGTGAGTGCAGATATTTCTAGTGCTTAGCATGATACCAGACACATCAGTAAAGCAACTTCTAGAAATCTTTGAATGAATGAACGAATGAATGAATGAATGAATGAATGAATGGTAAGTATTATGTGTGTAGGGTTTTTTTGTTGTTTTTTGCAGATGCTAGGGTTGGTAAGTGGAAGGGGGACATATGGGACAGGACAGAACAGGACTCAATGGTCAGCTCCAATACTCTCCTTTGCTTAAAGAAAAGCTCCATAATGTGAGCAACCTGGCAGGGAGAGTCTGCTTCCTTCTGTGTCTTTGCTCTTCCATATCACCCTCAGCCTTTTGGCCCTCATTATGTGGATTTTACTTCAGCCCCTCACACTCACCATGTCCCTTCGTGCCGCAGGGCCTTTGCATATGCTAGTCCCTTTGCCCAGACTGTTCTTTCCCTCCTCTCTTTGCCTAACCTACATGTTGATCTTTGTAGTTTCAGCTCCAACATCACATCCAAAGGAAAGTGGTCAAATCCCCCCACTATGGAAAGGACAGTATTCTTAGTACTTGTCTTGGTTGCAGATTTATATTTAAGTGATGATTTGATTAATATCTGTCTCTACTATCAGGTTGTGTCTCTACAAGGGCCTGTAATCTTATGATGGTTTTGTTCACAACTGTGTCCCCAGCACCTAGGAAAGTACCTAGATAATCAATAAATGTTTGAATCAATCAGTCAGCATTCTCCTTTCAAATGAAGGCTATGCTAGTTCTCTGCAGGGAGGAGTCAGGGATGTTCAAAAGGACCATCTGAAACGTGAGGTCATCCTTGTACCTAAAACCAAGATGAACCCCAACCTCAAGGGAGAAGAGGCTGCTCCAGCTCCTTTGTTGAGAGCCCCTATCCCAGGCCTTCCGTTACAAAGACAAGCAGAGGCCCTCCTGCCCTGAAGGGAGGGAGGAGAATCCTGCAGGTCAGTGCTGGAGCCCACCTAGTCCCTTTCACCGCTGAGAAGGAAGGCTCATCGGCACGCGAGGTCATCCGTCAGCCCAGCAGCAGGAAGGCACCTGTCCTGGGCCTAATTGCTGGCTGCAAACTTCAAAGAGTAATGGAAGCTTTGGAACGCGTACAGAAAAGAACATCAGACAGACACAGGGTAGCCCCGGGGAGGGAAGGAGGTGACGTTGCCTCCAGAAACAGCCCCCAAGTCAAGGACTTAGTCCCAGCAAAGATGAAGGGGGTTTAGATGGAAGGTTCTAGATGACTCTCTTAGAAAACCTTCCTCTAATGTATCCTGAGAGTTTGGATCACCAGAGGTACAGAGAGTAGGTACAAGAAACTTCTTCAAAGTCAAGATCCCTAAAGCCCTGGGACAGATGGCTGAGAGTCACGTGGCACATCCCACAAGAGACTGACACTTGGGCAGGAGCTGCTTCTGCCCTTCTGCAGCCATGAGGCGGGGTGGACGTAGCTAAGCAAATAGATTAATAAAGAGAAGTGTGTTCAGGGACAGGATGGGTCCTATCAGTCCTTTCCAAACTACATTTTATAGCAAGAGAATCCTTTTACCAAACAAAATCTCTCTTGGAGTCGTCATACATAAAATAAAGTAGAGACATTCTGGCTGAAGATACAAAAAACCCTTAAAGGTTCCCCTCAGGCCCCTTCACTGTGCAGAAAGGACCCTGACACCCAGACTCCAGGGCTAGAGGGTGGCAGAGAGAAGGTCCTAGCCCCGAGCTCTCTGGCCACACTCTGGGGCTGGGCACAGAACCCTGGGTGACCTCTGTTTACCCATCTAGCTCCACTTTTGAGGTTTCACTCTGAATGTATCTGTTGAGTGTCACTTGGGCGAGAGACATTCAACTTCCCTTTTTAAGGGCAATCAGATCTTTGGTTTTGCTCAGCATTTTTTTTATAAAGCTGGTATTTTTCCATATTTACAGGAGCATGTAATAACTCCCAAATGACTTACAAAGAATGTGGCAAGAGACCACGCTTCTCTTTCCTCTCTTTCCTAGGCCGCCACCTTCCACACATGTATACTAACTAGCCTGCCACCAAAATGCAAAAGGCCCACTAAGTTCTTGTCAAAGCAAGTCACTTATAAACAAGGCCTTGGGTTAGCGGGTATTTATAAGGAAGAGTCTTCACATAGATGCACTGAAAGGAAACCAGGCTACAGATTGAGATAACTCTCAAATGGACAGAGGTCAATTTCTAACCTCTGTTCTTTAAAAGGTTTGGTGAGCACCTACTGTGTGCCGGACACCTGACTTTCCACTGTCAGCTCCGCATTTTCCTTCTTACTTTGTCTTTCTAGGAGCTACTTCCCTAGACACCAGTCTCTTCTCCAGGGAATGGGAAGAAAAAGGGATGATCTAATGCCTGATGTCTGGGTCTAGCAGTCAGTCTGTCCTACAGACAGAGGTCTCAGGCTAGAGTAGGGGGAGAAGAAAAAAAAGGAACCAGTGTGCATACCTACTATGTGCTGCGATGTGTACTTTATCCTCTCTACAGCCCCTACCCTCGTTGTATCGTTTTAAATGTAATAAAAAACAAGGTTCAGGGAAACTAAAAATTTGCCAAAAGTCATCCAAAAAGTAGGGGGCAGCTGAGATCAGGATCCACACGGAGGGGAGCTGACAAGAGTCCCCGGCGGAGTCGATTCCTGCCTTTGGACCCACCTTCCAATTCCATTCTGTCTTGTCAACCGGGCTCTAAAAATCTTTTAAAGCCAAGATGTTTGCCTTTGCCTATCAAACGATACCCCCTTCTGTGGGTATCCGCTTAGCCTAAGTTTCCCTGATGGACAGGCCCCCAGTCACATAGGACCACAGGAAATAGGACAGAGGCCACTAGGAAACAGCCTGGGTCCGCCGAGAGAGAACAGCGTGACAGGATCCATACAGCATAGCTCACCCCACCAAAGGAGGCCACCAGCACACATCCCGTGGAAAAACCCCTTCAGCGCGGTCCCCAAAGAGACCACCCAGTTCCCCTTCCTTTCGCTACACACAGTTCTGGCTGCACCGCCGGTGGCCGGCTCACAGCGAAACGCTGCCGCCCAGCTGGAGAGGCGGCGGCCGGGGACTCACTCGCTTGGAGCCTGTCACCTTCGGACAGAAGCCCGTCAGCTGTCCGAACATCAAAGGCTGAGTCACAGGGACCCCGCTGCACGGGGGCAGCCTTGTACTTGCCTTCGCACAGCTTAATCTTCTCCTCCACAAACAACAGTCCTTTTGCAAGAAGCTGGTTCTGCCAAAAGAGAACAAAACACGCGAGTTGAGCGCCTCTGCAGCCTGCCAGGCCTCTCCCACCTGTGAGCTCATCGGGCCTCCAAGTTTAAGAAGCCTTTTGTCCTCTTGGAAGGCCGAGGCTTCAGGAGGAGACACTGAGGCATCCCGCCGCCAAAGAATGAGACAAGAGCCACCCCACCCCCCACCATCCTGCCAGCCACAGGAGAGGCACCTCACAAGCCTGGCCGGGTTCTGTGCACGGACATTGACACCGGTGTCCTTCGAGCCCTGGATCTAAACTCAGGAAAGAGAACGTGAAGGCACCGGGAAACTATGCAGAAAGAATATCCCTTAAAAGATAAATTTAGGGTTTCTCACGCCGTCATGAAGGAGACTGCATGCAAAATCTTGAGCAGAAGTGAGTATGTGTCTGTCAGGAGTGTGCATGGGAAAGTCATGGAAGGAGAGAGTGAGACTTAATCCTTTTGCAACTGCAACTAATAGTTGAACATTCTGTGTAAGCCAGAGGGTTCATATTCTTCATCTCGTTGAATTCTAACCCCCCTGATCATCCTATCAGGTTGGGGACATTCTCTTATCTTGCTGGTGCTCACAGTGAACACTTGCCCACAGGAGACAGCACTGGTCCTCCTGGGCCCAGGAACTGTTCTTTCCACGTTGCTTTGCTGCCTTCCAGAAAAAGCTGCCCCCCCAACCCCTTCCTCTCCTCAAAAGGCTACAGCCGGTCCCGCAAGTCCCAGAGCAGCCTCTCTGCAAGTCGCAGAAGCTCAGAGAGCAAGAGTGGGCTGGAGCCTCGCCACTCACCTCACATCACTAGATTATCCAAGGCCTATGCTTAGAGGGTGGGGGGCCCAAGATGACATGTAGCCTACAACCTAACTTAATGCATGGCTTAGTATTCTCCTCTACAAAAAGCCCTGTTACAGAGCTGATGAGTGCATGGATGGCAGAGAGGAAAGAACTGTGTATCCGACAGGGGTTCAAGTCCCAGCTCGGCTACACTCTAGCTGTGTGATCCTGGACTTAATTTCCCTGAGTCCTGAATTCTTCATCTGTAAAATGGCATTATACCATTTCATAAAGCTCTAATAAGAATAATCATTACAAACNAATTTCCCTGAGTCCTGAATTCTTCATCTGTAAAATGGCATTATACCATTCCATAAAGCTCTAATAAGAATAATCATTACAAACACACACACACACATACACACACACACCACACACGGCATTTTATGTCCTCAGTAATCAGTGGTGGGTAGTGATAATAGCTGCTCTCTTAGCCCAACTATCTTCACACAAGGAGCGGGAAGTAAAGAGAGCCTGTAATAAATAGGCCTCCATCAAAAACACTGAAACGTTTTATCAAAGGTACTGTCTCATTTGTGACTAATATACATAAACCAAATTTTATAGGTCCTACTAAAATTCACAAGACGCGGCCTAATTTTAAAAACTGGTCACCAGTTAGTTTCAAGACGGTAGATGAAACCCTAAAATCGAAGTGATGACAAAGAATTCCTTTACAAAACATTACGGAATGGACAGTTAATTGAGGTAAAACCCTAACTGTGTTCTCCACCTTCCAGCCAAGCAAATGAATTCCAGCAGCTTCTGGGTGGGAAAGCAAGAAAACACCACAGCACCAAATTTAGACTGAGCAACATAGAGCCTTTCAGTCTGCCGACGTTTTCTTCACATGATAAAAAATTACATTGTAAAAGTAATAAACTTTAAAATATGGCCTAGGTTCTCCTTCCTTTCTTTCTAGTTCTTTCCCCATCAAGAAGACATTAGGGGGGGAATTTTTTTTTCAAGGAAAAGAAGGTATTTGTATATTGTAGAGGAATGGAAAAGAAAATATTCTTTTAAAAATTCTCATGATACACAGCATGAAAATTCTGTAGCCTTGGGGTTAAAAAGAGCCTCAAAAATCATCTAGTCTTTCCCCGCTCTCCCCAGTCCTGCGGTCAAATCCAATGGTCTCACGTGGTTTTGATGATAGTTGTATGGAGCCATTTTCCAGGGAGCTCGAGCACCTTCCAAACACATCTTTTTTTCTTCTTTTAAAATATATCTTTATTGATTTCAGAGAGAGGAAGGGAGAGGG